TAACATAAACTTATATGGGTAATTTGTGAGTACTTACTTTAGCTCGGCTGATTACATGCACCACACCCTTTTCTCTTTTATAAAATTCTTTTCTCTTTTCAAAGTTCTTTTTATAAAAATAATTTTCTTTTGAAAATTTTCATACCAAGTCCTCAGTTTGAGTTCAGACACACTCGAAAGTGTGTCCGAATCCCTCAAACCAAGGCTCTGATACCAACTTGTAACATCCCAAAAATACAATCTAAAATTTTCATTTTTAAGTCATTAATAAAACCATAAATATCATTAATCATACATAAATCATAAGTCATGTATCTCAAAAATATCATAACATTTATCAAATATATCAGAGTATAAACATCCCAGGATGAACAAATGGTGTGTGCACTGTAATCATCCCGAGCTCTTCCCCTTGCTACCAGAAGTACCTAAAACCAAAACTGAAAACTGTAAGCACGAAGTTTAGTGAGTCTCCCCAAACTACCACATACCATACACATATACATGCAACTATGAGATATGAGTCCCGCCCACACTCAAGGAGATACGGTCCCCGCCCACGCCCTGCTATCTTGGAGATACGGGCCCCGCCTACATTCCGCTGGCTATGATATATGAGCACTACCCACAATCAGCTACTATGAGATACGGGCCCCGCCCACACTTAGCTACTAAACATACATACAAATATCACACAGAATACAAGTATAACTAAATCTATCAATCAGTCATTTATATATATATATATATATATATATATATATATATATCCATAATCAAATAAAACTATGAGATACGGGCCCCGCCCACACTCGGATACTATGAGATACGGGTCCCGCCCACACTCGGCTATTATGAGATACGGGCCCCGCCCACACTCGACTATTAATCATACATATGCGGGCCAGCCTTGGTGCCTTCGACCTGTTCTATTGGAGGAAAACTCACCTCTCAAACAAGGTGTTGAACTCTCGTGTGAGGAATCTATATTGGCTACTCCCCGACTATAATTTCACAATAAACACTAAGTCAAAACTAAAAATCCTTCTAAGGGTAAAATGATCATTTTACCCGTGGTCAAAGTCAACGCTCAGGTCAAAGTCAAAGTCAAGGTCAACTTCTAGTTTGACCCAACTCATCGAGTCACCTCCTAACTCCTCGAGTTTCTATGTTATTCAGACTCATGATAAACCGAGTCAACTCACCGAGTCCTTTCACATACTCGTCGAGTTATACCTGGTACGAAATCGGGATAAATTGACTCAACTCGTCGAGTCCCCTTCTGGACTCGTCGAGTTCCCTTGTCTGTTTGGGTTATCTATATGGATTAAGCCCCTACACCTCAGATCCAAGCTTCATACTTCACATAAACCTCGAAATGCCCTTTTAAGGGTAAAATTTCCAACTTTACCCGTTATTACCCCTCCTTAATGGGTTTAGCTCAAACCCTAACTCCTTGGGACCTAAAACTTGGTTCTTAAGCAATCCATACACCAAACTAGAACTTACAAACACAGATCTAAGCCCCTAACACTACGTGGACAACAAAGCTCCCATTTTTTCCTTCATGCATGGCCTCTTTGGCTAAAAGGCCAAAATGACACTCTATGGCTTGCATGGGGACTCCTATGGCATAAAGTTTGCACCTTTATGCCATAATAGTCCTTCAAGATCCTAGATCTGGAAGAATACCCACTTGGGTCATCCATTCTTCACATGTTAGCTTACTTGGACAAAAACCATCATAAAGATGAAAAGAATAGATCAAAGAAACCATTGAGCAAGGTTGGGTCTTTCTTACCCGAAAATGTAGCAAATGATGAGTAGTTCCTGGATCTACTCTTTCCCTCTTGAGCCCTCTTGCTTTCTCTTCTTCCACAAGCTTAAAAACACCCAAGTATCACTCAAAAGGCTCACAATCTCAAGCAAAGCACTAGGTTTTCGTAGATTAGGGTTTTGGGACTTGGAGGTTGTAAATGAAGCTGAGGGGAGGGGATTAAGAGGCATAAATACGGTGCAAAACCCCGAAATTAGGGTTTCATCCTGGCAGCCCTACTCGTCGAGTCAAGACCCTTAACTCGTCGAGTAGGTGGCTTAAGATCTCGCGTTAAATTGGATTTCTACTCGACGAGTTTAGGGCTTCCAACTCATCGAGTAGCTTTATAAAACGAATAATATATAATTAAATGCATACCAGAAATGAATTGTTACAATTAAAACGTTGATGATTCAATACTTATAATAAATAACATTATATTTTAGGAATAGGATTTACTAAGTGTTTGATAGGTGTTCTAGAAAAAAAAAATCATAATTTTTATATTTATTTATTTATTAGGTCCATGAAGCTTCCAATATTAAATGATCGTAAAGTAGAGGAAGTTTCCGAGGAGCAAAAGTAATATTATAATTTGAGTTGGACTTTCGGTGAGGAATATGCTTTTGCTTCTTGAGACTTCATCATTCTACCGCCTTCTACTTTACATAATATACTTTCGGTCTTTAGATTTTATTAAAACGTTTATAAGTAGAATTTCATGCCACTTTGCTCTTTTAGAAAATAAATTTTATCCAAAATACCAAATGACACAATTAACTGCCAATAAACGATTAAAAAAATGAGCTTTTCAAAAATAACCAACAAGTATGCAGAGGGTCCGCTACAGACTCATACAACAATTAAAATATTAGGACTTATTTGTAATTAATGTGAGTTTGCGGTATGGAACCTTAGTTTTGCGAACTCGAAAGTATAAATTTCGATAATTCATTTTTTTTATTTGGCATGTAGATTTTTGTTTGAATTTTAGTTTTAACTTTTATTTTTATTTATAGATAGGATAAAGAAAATCTAATCTACATTCCAAATGAAAAAAATAAAAAATGAATTATTGCTATGTATACTGATAAGTTCTTAGAAGTATCATTACTCTGCAAAACACAAAATTACGATATATGACCGTTGGCATGAGTTCGCAGAAGACCTTCTCGGACTCATTGATCAATTTTGAAAAACTCATTTTTTTGGCACTTTGGCGTGTCATTTGGTAATTTTGTTAATCTTTTTATAATACTACATATGAATTATGAATTTCCTACAAAAACTTATTTTGAACTTAAATATTATCATTTTACATATAATTGGATCATCTTTATACCATGAATAAAGCAAATATAAGTTTATTATAGAAAATAAAACCAATGTACGTTTCAATTAATTAGTAGTGTAAAAGTTAATATCTATTAAATTTTAAATGATCAAGGTTGTAAACTCATATCTAAAGGGTAGTTGCATATAAATCGTCTCTCTTGCTAAAATTTTAGGATCTTTAAAGCCTCTTGATTGTTTGTACAATTAAAGATCACAATAGTGCAGCAGGAAAGCACACAAGTGTTTAATCCCTCCAACCAATGAGACATGGATTTGTTGTACATCGAAATGAGATCATTGCAACGTACACAACAAAGAGCTTAAGTTTGTGTAGCTAAAAACATGAATTATGGTTCGAATGTTTATATCAATCGATTTTTTTCAGCACAAAACAAACTCCCACCATAATTATAGTAATTCAAAGATTTAATCAATCACACATAAGTACAACACAATACATATTAGAAAATACTCTCACGTCTGACTACAAAACCAATAATCAACCACATGACATGTATGGCATGGAGAGATTAACAAAATGTACTTACTAGACATCAAAACAAAAGCAATGTTTGTATTCAATACACAAATAGCCTCTTTCGTATAATTGGCAACCACAATTGCATAAAGACAACACAATACTCAAACACATACAATCTAAAGTAAACAAACTTCATTACTTGTAATAACCAAATGTAGTTCGTATAAAGAGTTAAATTACAAAATGATGTATACACGCTTTAATTACTCGAAACAAACAATAAAGGCATATGACATTCCGTTATGACTATTTTATAATAATATTCTAACAACTATAAATGTTGTCGGAGCCTCGGAGGTAGAACTGAAACCACCCAAAAAAGGTTTTACCTTAGAGGTGGCAAAAACTACGACACAAACTTGATACTAAATAAACGGTTGTAGATAAAATATTTCAACTCGTTTAAATAAGCGAGTTGACAAGATATGATACGCAAATTTAATGGGTAAGGTTAGGGTTAAAATTTTCAATTCGAATATGACTCAAAAATAACATGTTTATTTATATGCAAGTTTTTTGAATTATTTAAATAAACTAGAAATATCAAAAATCAAAACCATAAGTAAAAGAAAACATTTTGATTTAGTTGTTTTGTAATGTGGAAATAACTTAGCCGTCTAGATCAATACTTTATTTTTAGTTTTTCCATTATCTTGTACACTATATAATCTCTTTGACCACTCTCTCCTCGTGATCTCGTCTTCTACCTCTCTCACTCCTACTCTTTCCATTTTATCATTTGAACTTGTTACGATTTTATCTATTCCGCCTCTTAATTATTATTTTTTCCCATCCTCTTACCAAACTCCTATTTTTTTAACATGTTGAGCGTTTCAACCTCACATAACAAAACATATTTAACAGTATACCCATAATACGGAACTCGATACAAAAATAAACGGATTAGCATGACATGACACATTAGTTAAATTTGTCGGATTAGGATCGAACAATTTAAACTTGTTTACTGTTTTGACACAACACGATACGATTGTAATGTCTAGTTTTACTTGTTATTGCAAGTAATAGTGACATGTTTTAAACAAAAATATAAATTTAAGGCTTAACACCTTATAAGAAAAGTTAAATAACTAAATATGTATAAAATAAATAGTTTCTTACCCCAAAAAGTAAATATTTAAAAGATCATATATATATATATATATATATATATATATATATATATATATATATATATATATATATATATATATATATATATATATATATATATATATATATATATATATATATATATATAGCACAACAATGTGTGAGATTATTCATCTCCAAGTCCATGTAAAGAAATAGAGCTAAAAGTATAGGGGGCAGAGTTGTTATGTTTTCAAAGTTTTTTAGAGAATCTTGTCAGTCTTGGACAAAAAGTTAGAATTCAACGGCCATGACGCGTATTCCCTACTCTCTCTCTCTCTCTCTCTTCAACTGATTTCGTTCAAGCAGCAGTAAGCATCGTTGGTAGCACAAAACTCGATTGATAAACGCTCATCGTTGAATTTTGAAACCGTAAAATACTCGAACATTACGGTCAAAATTTAATTTGTCCCAAATTGATCGGCTATATGGTCTCTTCATCGTAGTACGTTCTTCGTTGATTCTTGCTTAATTGAGCAGGTAAGAATCCCCTCATCTTCCATGTGAATTTCAATAGAAACTCCGTAGCTGTTATGAGTCTTTCATCATCCTGTTCATTTTGATTCTAGAACTCTCCCTGTACATCTCTAGGGTTTTTACCGCCTGGTCATGTTTCAAATCTGGGTGCTCATTCAGAGGATTTGAGCTCTTTGTGTAGTGCTTGTTTGATTTGCTTGAGATTTCTTAGGTTTGTAAAAAGTTTGGAAATTTTAGAAAGAACATGTCGTCCGCTGGTGTTGTTGCTCTTAGGCCGTTCTGTGACGACTCCATTTTGCCTTCGTTGTCTGTACATAACCAAGATCCGATTATGATTCAATTGGCTATGTCGGGTTCCATGGTTCCAATGAGGGTGTTGGAGTCGGAGTCGATTGAGTCGGTGAAACTTCGGATTCAAAGCTATAAGGGGTTTGTTGTGAAGAACCAGAAGTTGGTTTGTGGAGGTAGGGTATTATCCAGGAGTAACTCTTTGGTTAGGGATTATGGTGTAAGTGATGGGAATGTGGTTCATTTGGTTGTCAGGCTTTCTGACCTTCAAATGATCAATGTGAGGACTTCATGTGGTAAAGAAATCACTTTCCATGTGGAAAAGAATCGTGATGTTGGTTATGTAAAAAGGCAGATTGCTAGGGAAAAGAAAGGATTCATTAACATGGATGAAGAAGAAATCCTGTGCGAGGGTGAGCAGCTGGAAGATGAGAGGCTTATAAAAGATATTTGCAAATATAACAGTAATGATGCAGTCATCCATTTGTTTGTTAGGAAGTCTGCAAAGATTCAGAAGGATTTTGAGCTGAGCATACAATCAAAAGAATATGATGTTGGTGTGTTACAACTTCAGAATGGAGGTAATGGGATAGAGTATTATGGATCGGTTCCTAAAGAAGCTGTAAACAGAAGTGTGTGGTTGGAAGCTGTGAGTGTCAACCCAAAGGCTGCACTCCCTGGTGTGGTTTTGGAGCTGGTAAACTCGACGCATGAAGGTTTGAAGAAGGGGAATTATCCAGTAAGATCTTGTGAGGGTACAGGTGGCGCGTATATGATGATGGATGCATCAGGGAGTAAATATGTTTCAGTGTTTAAGCCGAATGATGAGGAGCCTATGGCTGTAAATAACCCCAGAGGATTACCATTGTCAATGGATGGTGAAGGGCTAAAGAAAGGGACAAGTGTTGGTGAAGGTGCATTAAGGGAAGTTGCTGCATATATTTTAGATCACCCAAAAGGCCAACATAATAATAAGTCTTTCTCTGGTAGACGCAAGGGGTTTTCTGGGGTCCCCCCGACACTGTTGGCCACATGCTTGCACCCAGGGTTTAACCATAACCATAACCATAATGGTGTAGAATTCAAGGAGAAGATCGGATCATTGCAGATGTTCATGGACAACTGTGGAAGCTGTGAGGATATGGGTCCTAATGCTTTTCCAGTCGAGGAAGTTCATAAGATCTCTGTTTTGGATATCAGGATGGCAAATGCAGATAGGCATGCTGGAAATATATTGGTGACCAAAACCAAAACCAAAGGAGAAGATGCTAAATTTGTACTCATTCCTATTGATCATGGCTACTGCCTGCCTGCCAGTGTAAGAAAGACTCATCTCCTATTCTCCTTCATACGCCATTCATTTATAGCACATAAGTAAGTAAGTAAACATATGATTATGGATTTTTTTTTCTTTTCTTGGGTGCAGTTTGAAGACTGCACATTTGATTGGCTGTATTGGCCTCAAGCTCGGGAAGCGTTTAGTAGTGAAACAGTCGAATACATAAACTCACTGGATGCTGAGGAAGATATAGCTCTGCTTAAGTTTTATGGATGGAATTTACCCTCAAAGAGTGCACGTGTGTTTCGAATATCCACCATGTTACTGAAGAAAGGCGTTGAGTTACTAAAAACCCCCTCCCCTTTTGCAATTGGAAAGCTGATGTGTAGGGAAAACTTGAATAAGCCGTCTGTGATTGAAGAGATAGTCCAAGAAGCAGAAGATCTTCTTCTTCCTGGTTCAAGTGAGGCTGCATTCATTCAGACTCTTTCTGAGGTCATGGATCGCTGCCTTCGTAAATAAACTATTCAATTTCTTATGTTTTCCGTACATATGAGGTGAGTGAGATTGAGATTTGAGAGAGAGGGGGTTAAGTTCCAATATGTATTTTTATTCTTTTATATTTTGTATTTCATTTCAATCGGAGTGGAGAGTGGGGTTTCGATTTCTTGAAGAATAATACATTTACCAAATGCTAGGTAGCGAGGAATACGAGTTTAGTGAGTTTTTAGACTCAAATTTGTTTGTTATGACTTATGACTTATGATTACGTACCTACATACACAAAGGAGGTGAGGTGATTTCTTTTGTCTTGTAAATGTTGCCCATTATTTGTATTTTGTAGCGTTCTCTTATGCTACTAAGTGAAGAGAGGAGGGAGGAGAATAAAACGTATGATTGTACATCTCGTCATTACAAAAAAATATATATAGATTTTACTACTTTTGTATCATGCATGAATTTACAATAAGTTATATATCTTGCTTATTGTTTTTAGGGAAACTATTAACATATGCGTGGCGTAGGTCGGTCACAAGAGTTATAGATTTCCTTTCCTTGGTATGGAATGATATGGGAGTGAAAGACTTTTTTTTTTTTTTTTTTTTTCATCTTACATTAATAGCATAACATAACATTAAGAGGATGTTGCCCTAAAAATGTCCACAGTCAGAGACAGTCCACACGAACACAACCGAATATGGCTAATGGCTCCATTCATCATTTTAACAACATGACATGGATTGAAAAAAATAAAAAAGAATAAAGAAAAAACAGAAGAGTTGTTAAAAGTAAGTAGAGTCTAGAGAGGTTGGTTGGGAATGGGAAAGCAGAGGTTGCTATCGGAGGAGGAGGAGGAGGAGTTAGGAGGAGGAGGAGGAGGTTCTTTCCATATCCGACCAGTGACCCTCAACTTGAGTTCCTGACGATCTCCACCAGAGAAGAAGAGCGCCATATTCCTCTGTATGATGAGCCCGTCATGACTGTCCCTGACCTTTCTGTGACCATCTCTTATGCTGCGAGGGGTGCCCTCCCATATGAGCTTCCGCCCATTCCCTCCCACCTCCAAACTGTAACGATAATTCCTGGCATCATTCTCATCACCCATGAACCGAAGGAACGCCATGTACACAGGCGCCATGCTCAGCTGGAACGCCTCGAAGTGGAGACAGAAATACTGCCCAAAACAGTTGAACACCTGCACACATACCCCATCAAAACCAACTGTCTCAAATGAAATGATACAAATACTAGTAGATTAGAGTTGACTTTTGAGAAAGCGAAACAGAGGGACTCACTGTTAACATCCAGGTGGCGTTCTCAACCTCACGAGGATTGGACTTGACATATCGGTGGTTGAAAGTGCATCCAGAGTGCATGTCTACTTTGTGATCGTCTCTTAAATGAGACACAAGAAAAGGGATCTCCCCAACCATGGAGCATTCTGATCCAGCATATGGACAGCTGTAGGGCCTATAATTGCACATTGATTCATGTTTCAGCTTGCTATAGTATGGGAAGATCCCAGGGCATCCATTCAGGTTGTATTTGCATGGAAACTCAAGTGATTCAGCCACTTTTTCTAATGCCAGACACCTTATGTCGCCAAGCTCTTGTCTGCAAGTTGGACACCTGTTGTGAACTTTTGCCTTACAACTCGAACAAAGCGTGTGCCCGTTGGGGCACTGCAACACAAAATCCAAATCAACTTTTTAACTTATCTCACAAACCAAACTAATTTCAATAACATAATCGCAATCCTAAAACCCCCACCCCAAATCACACCGACTCTAGACCTAAACAAATATAATCATGCCCCTATGTCAAATCGAATCATGTCCAATTTCAAAGTATAAAATCTAATAATTAACACGAATCAATCATAAGAAATTAAGATCGTTTCATATCATTATTCAGAGACAGAAAGAGAAGAAACAAAACCTGATGAATAGGAGGGTACATTGAATTCGTACAAACAGGGCATTCCAGAAGCTCGTGGACACTGGTTGTGGGAAAAATCGTTGAGGAAACAACATTAACATTATGAGTTTTCGAAGATGAAAAGTGAGGATTTTGATGATGGTGACGGTGATGATGATTATGGTGACGAGGGACTTCATTATCATTCAATCCATCCGAGACTGAAACGCATTCGATGTTATCAATCTCCATTTTGGAAAAACAAACCAACACCCACAAACAGAAAAAGACTCAATCTTTATCAATATTTTGTTTTGCTAGAAGAAAAGAAAAGCTTTCCCCTCCCCGATCAGGTTAAAGACGACGAATCAATAACCAGGGGGAGGGGGAGGAGGAACAACAGGAGGTGCTTTTCCTTTCTTGATAGCTTTTCGTGATTTTTTTTATTTTTTTTTTTATTTCTATGAATTGTTTTTGCCTTTGGAGAATGAGATCGGTGGATAGGGTTGAATGTATAATTTTTGTTGATCAAATTTTTATTGAAATGGTAGGAGATATGGTTTTGAATGCTACAGTTCACAACACTTCAACATTATTGCCAAAATTAATAGCCAACTCACTATTTTTATTCTTATTTCTATTTCAACAAAATAATACCAAAAAATATCATTTAATTTTAATCTACTGTTTTCTCATTAAAAAATTATTTTGTACATACTAAATACAATTTTTATAGTCAGTTTTAATATTGGACTTAAAACAACCACCAAATCGTTATTATGAAATAAAAGCTCTTCTGTTCTACAAAAACCACATAATCTTAATTATTTGATAAAGCTTGAGCTCTTCAGTCATCACGAAAATATGCATTATGTTTTTGACTTTTTTTTTCCAAACAATGAGTGCCGATCTCTTTGCAATGTCTAAGCTATGCAGGTGAAGGGTAAACTGTGACAATATATATATATATATATATATATATATATATATATATATATATATATATATATATATATATATATATATATATATATATATATATATATATATCATGTTCCACTTAATTTTGTGCTATTGTTTGTTGTTAGGCTTTGCAATTGAGTCGTGTTTGGGTTGGTAAGTTGACGGATCAAAATACATTGACTCAGTTCAATCCATATAATATATGGGTTGGTGGGTTAGCGGGTTTGAAACATCAACTCAACCCTACTCACATAATTTGTTTAAGTATATGGGTTTGCAGGTTAGTAGGTTGATTTCGGGTCAAAAGGTTGATGGATCATTTTTTAATAAACTTTTCACATGTTAAATTTATACGAATTATGTTAAATTTATACGAATTATACATGTCTCTAAATTAATCAATAATTAACATTTTACATTGACCAGGGCACGCATACTACAATGTTTGGGCTAAGGCACACCGTATATTGACTATATTCCATTAATTCATAAATAAAATTTATATATATATATATATATATATATATATATATATATATATATATATATATATATATATATATATATATTAATCGGGTTGATAAGTTGACCAGCGAACCCAAACATGTAACCCAACAACTCATGAAACTGATTTTATTGTGGGTTAAGGGGTTAATCCGGAGGCTAAACGGCTAATTTTTTGAATTAAAGTGTATATATATATATATATATATATATATATATATATATATATATATATATATATATATATCATAACAAAATTCGTGAATATCACTGATATCATAACAAAATAGGTTAATACGAATAATACTTAAAGCAAAGCAAAGGTAAATGAGAGCAGATAAGAAAATGATTTTATTGTGTATAACAACAAGGAAACGTATATACTTAAAAACGGAAATGTAGAGGTCTTTCTTGTCAAACAAACCACAGAGTGACACACTAGTTTACTTACTACCATTGATTAGGGAAGGCTTCTCTGTACTTTGAATGATCATCATCACCAAGATTCATGAGCTGTGTTGCTCTTGCAGTTGCCTTCCTATTGAGTAACCTTCTGCCCAATCTATCCTTGACACTTACTTTCTTTTTCAGCATCTTTGCAAGACTGTTCTTCTCTCTTGTCTCGACATCTTCACCAATGGAACAGGTAGCTGAAGTGGAAGCAAGTGCTGCATCTCTCAAAACAGCGTCATTGTGGCCACGAACTTTTGCAAGTTTAGCCCGTTTCATTTCCTTTTTATTATCATAATATTCCCTTTTCTTTGCAGCATCTCTCTCCCTCACATTATTCACAGCCTGTTTCACTAATTCCTCTGTTGACACTGACACAAGATTCTCCTTCACTTCTGACAAGTAGTTATCATCATCTATTAATGGCTTCCCTTGGTTGTCTCGGGGGACAATCGTCCCATGAAAAGGGCAAATTTTCAGATCCCTTCGTGTACAAAGCCCCCCTTTTTTTAGAGGCGCACCGCATTGTTGAATTTCTTTATCATCTTCCTCTTCTTCTTCATAAACGGTTGCCTGAATGTTTAGCTCAGCAATTTTATTAGCTGGAATAACAGCATCATAGTCAACCCGACCCCAATGTCCTTCAACCTCTAACCCTCTCTGGTTAGCCATAACCGAACCCCAGTTGTCCAAAAAGGAACCCCACTTCATCACCGGGGCTTCACCCATGAGCTTGCTTTTTAACGGGTCCAAATCAGCATCACAGACTGCTTTATTGTTAATAATTTTCAGAGAATCTTTACTCCTGCTTACATCATGATCCCGATCCTCGCTTTGCTTATTGGGTTTTGGAATATCAAATCTTTCACTTGTGCCTTCTTCCCAGATATCTTCTTCTCCTCCTTCATCTGTAGTGTTGACTGAAAGAGCACATCCTGCTTCTTCACATTTCTTTTTGATTGTTTTCAGATGATTTCGGGTATCGATGAATTCTTTTAACATGGAGTCTCTAACTCTGTTGTCGGACAATTCTACCCTTATAAGAACAGAAATTGATTCTTGTACTGCAACTATATGTTTGGTGACTAAAAGCTTGTAAAGTTCTCTTAACGCGTCGAAAACAACTTTGTTTTCGCTGTTTTCCTGCACCTTGTCTGCTTCTTTTAACGAATTGTCTCGGATCTGTCGCAATTCAAGGCTACGAAACTCCTCAAAATATTCTTCTTCTTCTTCTTCGTTGATGGGAGAAAGCGGGAGGTTGGGTTCTTTACAGCTTTGAAGGATCTCTAAGCACTCATTGATTTCATCAACCATTGACTTGACTTCGTGTTTGATTGAAGGAAGGTTTGAGTTTAACAGCTCGTATTTCTTTAACAGAATCTCTTTTGTCCGCAGCTCTCTTTCTCTTCTCTCCTGCTGAGCTCTGGCTGCATTTGCTTGAAGATTAGGGAACTGAAATCTAAGGGTGTTTTTCAGGTAATCATACCCTAATCTGAGCTGTCTGTAATGGATTCCAAATGCAGTGTTCCATCTCTCTAAGAATTCAATTGCTTTTAAACGCAACTTGGATGCAATGGCTGGAGGTGCAGGGAGTGGCT